GAGGCACAGCCCCGCAGTGTGCGCTGACCGTCGGCTCGTCCTCGCCCCTTCACTTCTGCTGCTGCGGGGGCCACTGCGCCGGCTGCTTGATCTGCTGCTGCTGCTGCTGGCAGGGAGCTGGGGCCACTGGCACCTGCCCGGGCACAGTGACCACAGGGCACTGCGGGGGGAGGACCACCACTGGCGTCACATCCTGCACGGCGCTCACTTCGTGGCAGATGACCTCCTCGGAGCCGTGGCAGGACCTCTCGCTGTCGTGGCAGGAGGACCCTCCGCTGTGGCAGGAGGAGCTCTCGGTGCTGTGGCAGCCTCTGGCTGCACGGGAGCACATCTTTTGGTTGGTGTCACGAACCCTGGGAAGGAGAGACCTTTGTCGTTAGTTGCATGAAGGGCAGCGTGTTTTCCCCACTCTGCTTTAGGTTCAGGTTTCCTTGATGTGTTGATGAGCCTGCTGGGGCTCGGCAGGATTTGCCTGTCTGCCCGTCCCATTTCCCTGCGTTGGGGCTTTGCTCCCGCAGTGCTGGATCAGCCCCCACCATCTGAATGCCCTCACGAGCCCCCCAGCAGCCCTGATCTCCATTTCTACTGGGCTCCGTGAGCCATTTCCCTGATCTCCCCGGCTGCATCCCACGAGCACTCATGCAAGACACCCTGGGATGATCTCAGGGCTGTGTAACGGAGGAGCGAATGTGCTGTGGGCTGCCTGTTTATGCTGCACTGGCACGAGGCATCTTGGCAAGGGTCTGAAAAACTTGCAGCCTAGAGGGGCCCTGGCACAGCCGGTGAATTTGCAGCCAGGACTGGTGGTATAAGAGCCTTGGCAAAATACGCTTTCAAAATCAGGTGCTCAAAATTAAGAGATTCCTCTCTCCTCGGGTTCTCTGCTCCCTCTGTGCCCTGCGGACCCTTGGCTGGCCTGTGCCTAATTCCATGAAGCATGAGGAAAATCCTATGTGAACACCTAAGCCCCCTTCTGAGGAGAGCTGAGGTTTGAAGGAGGCAGAAGGCATTCTGGATGTGGCCAGCTGAGCTGAAGGCTTTTCGTGCTGCTCCTTCCTCGCATAGTTCAAATCTGCCTTCTCAGTTCTTTCCTAAATTTCTTCAAGGACAGCTTAATACTTTCAGCTCCTGAAGACTTACATTTTCCGAAGCAGCTTAGTAAAGGTGTCTGACTCACAAGTGCAATTAAAATTCTGAGCTTAAACCCAATGTTTCTTATGAATGATCAGCCTGCTGTCTCCCATTCGTTTCCAAATCCTGCTCCTTGCATTTTTTATTTCCAGTTTGTCCTTTGGAAACTAGGAAACCTGAGCACTGAAGTAATCCGAACACATCCACATGTGATAAGAACAATAGATTTTGCTTCTTAGCACAGGCAGACTTGAGACCAATTTTGATAGCGCATAATTGCCCCAGCCACCAAGGTGAGAACTTAGCTCTCAACAATCCCAGCACCTGCAGACAGACCTGCCTTTGTAAGAGCATAGCTCAGCTCAGTTCAGCAAATTTCCATAGTGGTATAGTAGCACCTTACCTTGGCTGTGAAGGCTCTGAAGAAGGAGTGGATCTGAATGAATGAGCTGCTCCCCTATCCGAGAACTTTTATATGGTTCCTAACTCTCTTCCTGAAAATGCAATAAACCCCTGGGGAAAAATGACCAATGTATTTACAAAACAGCCACACCTCTAATTATCCACCACCTTCAAAAGCTTATTCAACCTGGTTTCTTTGATTGACTTGTCATGCAGCAGATTGCCTTCCTTGTGTTACACAGTTTTAATTGCCGCCCTGCCCCACGCAGGTTATAATGCACGGAGAGTGAAAACCGTGTGGGTGGCTCGACTGTCTCACCGTCATGCCAGGATGAGTTTTATATTGCAAAATGGATGGCAAAGGTGGCGCTTTTCTGTATTTCTATTCTCCTGAAACACCTTGCCCAAAGTCTGGCAGGGAGGAGAGGTCACGATGCCTGGTCACCTCTAACTGCTCTTGGCAGGACCAAGGCCTTGCGCAGTGGATGAGAGCCACCTCTTTCAGCTCCTCACCATAAAAAAAGGGCAGGGTTTTAGAAAGTCCTCATCACATGCCCTCTGAAAGCATCTCTGAAGTTGTCTTCACCCTGTAAGACATCTGCAGGTGCCAGAAGCTTAGCAGCCGAGGGTACCTTCCCGATCTCCCCTCTCTGGCTGTGTCATTTCCCGGAGCAATAAAACCAGGACAATGAAGCCTGTGGCCACTGTGGCAGGCTCCAAGAGCTATGACTGGAAGGTGACCTGTCCAAGCCAGGTAGCGGTACAGGCCACTTTTGGAAGTCTTGGCTTATACCTGCGAACACCCCAAAAATGTGGTGTGATCTCTCTACCTGTCTCCGTCTACTTCACATCTGATTCTATAGCCGTGTCACTGGTATTGACATAGTTACCGCTAATTTTCTGCTGACATTTTTCCTGGCCCGTACCAAAAAGTCCCGAACAGAATTGCTCTTTTAAAATTTCTGGTTTTCTAATTTTTATTTATTTTTTTTTTAAATTTGCCTGTCTCTGAAGCAGTCATTGTCTGTGATGGGAAATCACAGAAGCTGCTTGGTCAAACCTTGCATTCATGAGTAAGCTGTGAGTAAAGTGCTAGCTCAGAGACCACGTACTCGAACTCATCACACACCTTGAGCTCACCCAGCTTTTCCCTGGGGCAGGACGAGTGCACCCTGGGTGCAAAGCAGCAGACTGTTGCAAGCCTGGGGTGCTCGCCTGGCCCTGGTGCAATCACCTGTGCAACCGTGGCTTTGCAAGAGCCCTGGTTTCTCCTTTTCCCTCCCATTAGCAGCTTGACTGTGCAATTCCAGTGGGGATCACTCTGTGTTTTGACTCATTCTGCATCTTAGCTCCCTCTGCAAACATGGGAGTCACAAGGTTTTGTTGGGCAGAGATCAACTGAACATCTGAAGCAGAGGGGTGGCTCCCACTTGCTATCTCCAAAACAGTTTCTTTAGTTTCTATCCAGAGGCGCCGGTTAGTGACTTTCATCAAGAAGCCAGATCCGTGTTTACTGTTCAGCCTGCCTGTTTACAAACAGCCGAAGCGGAGGGGCCGTGGCTTTTGCAAGCACTGACACGCTCATGGACAAGAGTCCTGCATTATCACAGTTCGTCAGCCGTGAGGGATGACTCGTTCCTTCCCTGTTGCGCAACGAGCAGGGAGGAAATCTGCATGGGCAAGCGTGCGTGTGTGTGCCTGCGTGTAAAATCCAGCCCCTGCCTGCTCCCAGCCTCATGCTGGACGTGAGCTACAACCACTCCAGTGTGCAGACAAAGGCACTGGGATGCGGCCCCAGCTCCTCGCGTTCAAGATCTGGGTGCGAGAGCATCCCCCTTCTCTCCTGGGTCTGTTATACTGTTACGTTGTCTAGCTTGGTTAAAGTCTAAGCTTACGGAGTGTTTTTTGACATGAAACTCAAAGAAACATCCGGGTGAGACAGTGAATAGGAAATGTACTTTTAAAAGGTTTTTTATTTTCTTTTTATTGGGAGGGGACGGAAATTTTGGTCAGTTTTTTGGTCAGTCAGTTGAATAGACAAGAAGTTTTTGAATACTCCAGGTTCTAATTGGTTTTCTGGGAGTCCCTTGCAAGTTGTTTGAGCATTGTGAGTTCTTTTGTTATCTTTGATGCTATCAGATGAAGTAGGGAAAATAATAGAAATCAATAATGAAGTGGTAGATTTTAGAAATATAAGTAGATGCAAATAAATGATAACTGTCTAATTTTAGAAAGGAATTTAATATGGCTGGTGACAAAACCTTGTGTAACGTTTCCTGCGCCACAGTCTTACAACATTTTGCAGCGTGAAATATACCCGTTGTGGCACCAAACATGGGGCTAGAGCTCAGAGGATTTTGGGTTTTGTGAGCTGTGGTGGTTTACAAACTTTTGGACTTTTATTGAGCTGAAAGGAATCCCCACAGGTGTGTGAAAGCAGGAATCACGAAAAATATTTTACAATGTAATTTTATACTCTTTTGTCTCCCTTTTAAATGCGCACAGATCTATGGGTGGTTCTTCTCCTTCATTACCAATATCTAGAGGAGTCAAAAAACCCCAGAGAACAGTCCCAAAACACAAAATGTTTGGCAAATACCATGTAACAACCATCACTAGATGTTCAAGCCTCCCCCGCGCTGTTCCATCAGCACAGCACAGAGGAACCACCTTCTCCTTGTGCCTAATTTAGGGCCTGATCCTATCCAAAAATGTCATGAAGCAGGTTACTGTGAAGAAGCAAACGAGCTTGTTCAAGTTGCCTCATGCCACTGGTGCAAGCATAAGGTTTACGTGCTCCAGCTTACAACATCACCTGCAATCTCTCTGGGACAGAAGCCTGGCGTGTAATTGTTTCCACGTAAACAACCTTGCACTCCCAAGGTCATGCTGTAAATAATAATCAGTCGGAAATCATCTGGGAGTTTTGCATATCTCCTTAGCCCAGCTGGCAGGGTCTGGCCTGCATACCCATGCAAAGGGTCTCGGCAGGGCACAGCATTTCCATTTGATGAGAACAGCATGACTTCAGCAAGAGCAAAATTAAGAACGTTGAAAATGATGTATTTTAATTCTGTTAAAATGAATATTACATGTAGGCATAGTTGTAAAGTATATCTCATAAATTCTGGAAGATAAATCTTGTGTTGTAAAGTAGACTCCTTGAAGATCTATCTGTTTTTCAAGAGAAGGAGCCAGAAATTAAATAAATCATTCAGATACGGGAATTTCCTACAGACTGTGAAGGTTTATTTCCAACCCATGAGCAGAAGGGGATGGAGAGAAGAATCTTTTTTCCGCCACCAAAGCACAAATCACTTTTCCCAGCAGTGCTTGCAGCAGTGTAACTAGCACAGCCCAACGCAAGGAATGCAAAGCTCCCTGACCGTAAGGACGCCGTCAGGGAGAAGCCGCGTTGTGGCTCATCCAGGGCGCTTTTCCTTGAGGAGGGGAGGCTGCTGGGTCAGTCACTTCTTCTGGCTGGGGGGCCAGTAGCTGCTCTCCTTGCTCTGGTTGGCCTTGATGTTGGGAACGACCACGGGGCATTTCTGCTGCATGGCCTGGGAGGACCCACAACCTCCAGAGCTGATCTCTGGGCCTGAGCATCCCCTGATGCCATAGCCCAATCCTCCGCTATAGTACCCTGAGCCACCACTGCCCCCATCTGTTGTTAAGGGCTTTTCTCTTGGTGATGCGTCATATCCGTACCCATAGCCTCCTCCGGCAGTGATGTCCCATTTGTCACTGTGACAGCTGGATCCTCCACTGCCCTCTGAGCTGCCAACGATGTTCCAGCCTGAGTCCTCACTGCTGCACCCTATTCCCCCTCCAGTGCCATAGACTGGGACTGTCCCCCCTGCAATGCCCCAGCCAGATGGCCCCCCACTGTCACCACTGGATATTACAATAGATCCATCACCGCCACATCTGTATCCCCCCGAAATGCTGCAGGTGGACGATGTTGCTGTGGGCTGGTGGGATGAAGCTCCCCGGCTGTAGGTGACCGAGTGTTCCCCACCACAGAAGACGGAGCCATTGTTGCAGTATCGTCTGTGGTGCAAGGAGATCTCATTGCTGTAGTCCCTGTTCCGCCGGGCACATCTCCCTCGGAGACAGTGAAAAATCTGAAAGAATAAAAAAGACAACCTGCACCATTTTGCTTCATTTTTGCGCCATGATGGGTGGGCAGATTTCAGGTGGTGTGGCCAGAAAAGCTTTGCCAGGGCCTGGGGCAATGCCAGGCTTCAAAACTGGGTACTGCCTAGCTGTTCATCAAATGCAAGAGTATTTTAACTCTTATTGGGGTTGCTTTTCTCTTTCTTATCTCCAAGGTGCATTTCCAGAGAATCAAAATCTGAAACGTATTCTTTTAACATCTAATAACTGCCACGGTTTTCCACACTCATCTTGGTGACCATAACCACAGAGCTGTTAAATTAGCAAGGATTATCGTTGCTTCTGGTTTTAAACTGTTGCAAGAGCAGTAGATCAAAATTTCCACTCAAGATGACTTTGCTGGCTGTATTATTGCCATGGTTGTGTAGCATTCCCAAAGCTCTTTCACATAAGGTAATAGGCACAGCCATAGAGGTGTGTAACCATTATGAAGTACAGCATAAGCTTGTTATTAAATAAAATAAAAAATGTGTCCCGCACATTGCGAACCCGTTCAGAACTGCAAAGACTAAGCAGTTGCCACGTGCTGGTCCCACTACAGACTCATCTGGGTTTTGTCAGTGACCTGACTTCATCTTGCCTCCTAGTGATTTGATCCGCACCGTAGCAAGAAACCGTACAGATCCCAAGGACTTTGCTGTGGATGCTCAGGCAGCATGCGTACTGCGGCATGCTCATGCCAAGATCTCAAGGAAGCTATCTCCCATGAATATGACATAATAAAGTCTCAGAAAAGAGCAGACTTACCCTCCTCAGCCATTGGAAACACATTTAGAAGATAAAAGTCGTCTGAATGAGGAGCTTTAACAGACAGGAACTTTTATATGGCGTTTAGCGTATCTGGGAAGTGAGACACCCTGAGGAATGGCAAGGATTTATTTACCAAACTGATTTCAGTGTTTGCTTTGACTCATGAGATGTGATCGATATCTTTCCTTTACACTGCTTGTTGCGTTACATGCAGCAGTAATTGCTACTTCTGCTTAATGATCCTATTCCTGCGCTTCTGCTCTGAGCGACAGAGGACTGCTTCATCCCCCAGTGAGGTGGTGACACTGGGGGGAGACTCGGGGGGATGGGTGGGAGTGTGGGTGTAGTGAAATGTTGAGCAAAAGGATTAGTGAGTGTGGAGCAGAGTGCGGTGGTGACCTGGTCCTGCTCAGGGAAGGGGCAGGGAGGCTGTGGTTCAGCGGTGGCAGAGCTCGTGGCTCAGGGCATCGCTGTAGGGGTGGGTGTGATCAGTGGGTACCCAGGAGAGGGGAAGGCAAATGCTCAGAAAGCGTCTAGTGGCCACGTAGCATGTTGATCCCTCCAGCGTCTCACTGGGGGCTCCCATGGGAGATTTTCCGAGGAAGACATTTGCATTTGAACCAGAAGCTCGTCAAAAAAGCGAAGTGCCCGGCTCAGGTATTTTGCAAGGGTGCTAGAGATGCTCTGAGAAAGCTTAAGGGCCCTGGAGAGAATTGCAGAGCTGTATGTCCTAACGCTTAAACCCACTGTGGCTGGATTACTCCTCTAATGAAGGATTATGCCTCCGAATGCCTTCCTGCTGCATTTTCATGTGTGGTGCTCTTCCTCTGGCTTGAAAAGAGCACCAAGCACTGGGGACTCCAGGGAGACTGATCTGGGGGGCTGCAGGGGCTACTTGCTGTGGCCAGGCTGGTAGTGCTGCCTGGCTTGATGTCTGTGCTGCAGCCTGTCATGCTCCAGCTCAGCCCCGCAGCACGGCTCTTGCAGGCTGGACTAGGTCTGTCCAGCTCTGAGCAATTTTGCCGTGGGGACAGCGAGTCCCAGACGTGGCAAAAGGCCATGCCTAGGCCATGTCTACCAGGCAGAAAGCAGTGCACAGGGATGGTGGTGCTGCCCTCAGCATTTCAAAGTAGATTTCAAAAGCTTGGGCAAGGAGGGATTTAAGGCCTGGAGGCATGATTTGGAGTGTGTTGAGTGCCTGAGAGTCTTGCTGCTGGTTTTATTTCCTTCTGCCTGGGCCAGGGCTGATTTGGCTGACTCAGTGTGTGAGGCTTGCCCTCTGGGTAGAGATGCTTTGAGATTCGAAAATCTGGGAGGGAAGGGGGAGGATGGCAGGGACTCAGAGGCCAGCATGTTGTTATGGCCACCCCAGGCAGCGACAGCTGGTGTTGAGGGTCAGCCCCAATCTCTGCTCTTCAGGACTGAGCACTTCGTTGCTTGATAGACATGGTCACTGGGTGCTGGTACTTCAGCGGACTCAGAGCCACGAGCTGGGATGACTGCACCATGCACAGGCTCCAAAGGGATGTCGGGTGCTGTGGTTGGTTGATGTTTTTAGGCTGTACTGTTACTCTATCACAATGCTCAAGGGGGGAAACGAAGGTGCAAACCCTCTGGGGCTACAGACTGTGTGGCTTTTGAGCTGCATCTACTGCAATGCACTATTGATCCCATCATCTTCATACAGAGAAGAGTGAAATGTCTCATCAGATAGCATTTGAGCTTCCAATACCAAAAATTGCTGGTTGAGAATACAAGAAAAAACAAACTCCCAAAAAAGGACAACTTTGAGATATTACATTTATTAGAAATAAAAAGGTTGCTCTTTGGAAAAGCATCGGAGCCTTATCCAAGGATGCCAACACTAGCAGCAGGGCATAAGGCTGTTAAACCTAGAGTTATCAGTGTATGGATGCAGCACCAAGTGAATAGAAGAGAAGACGGCATGCTGGGAAGAAACAGGCAAACAGAGCCAGGTCTGGAGGGAAAAAGGTGACATGGCAGAGAAAGGGATGTTCTTTGTGAGAACTGGGGCTGCCTGTGGCTGTTACTTCTGGTGGCTGGGGGGCCAGTGGCAGGCTTGCTTGGTCTGGTGGGACACGATGTTGGGGACGACAATAGGGCACTTCTGCTGCATGGACTGGGAGGACCCTCCACCACTGCCTCCAGAGCTGATGATGATTGTGTGGCCTGAAGAACCGCCACTGCCACCACTGGATCCTCCACAGCAGCATCCAGAAGATCCTCCACTACCTCCGCCTCCAATGACGATCTTCCCTCCTGAAGACCCGCCACTGGATCCCCCACCACAGGATCCAG